GCAGGGCTCTTCTGAGGTTCTTCTCAGGGGAAGGCCTCGGCCTCTCTGCCCTGTTGTTGGCCCTCCAGAGGAACTGCTTGGCCCCTGTGTGAGACAGGAGGCTGGACTAGATAGACATTCACTGGTCCGATCCAGCAGGGCTCTTCTGATGTGTTTAAGTTCAGCAGTCCCTTAGCCAGCAAGCAAAAACTAAGTCCAATCTGCCTCTGGCGAGACCTTTCAACACGCATACAACTTTCCAGCCTTCTCTGTCCACCCCCTGCAAGAAAGATCGCTTGGTCTTCAGGACAATCGTGGACCTCTCCTTGAAGGCTATTAACCGGACACTTCTCCTGGCTGTGCCATCAGCTGAGTGCTGATTAGTTCTGCTAGAGGTTTTGCTAAAACTGCAGACCGGGGAGAATCGGAGGAAAAGAGCTCGAACAAAACGAAACCTGCCCGACTCAGCCGCTCCTGCTTTGTAACATCAGAAACTTGCAAGCACTGCACAAGTGAAGAAAGCGAGAGACAGACTGCACCTCCGCCTCTTTCCTGCAGAAATGTGCACCACTTTTGGCTCTCGGGCAGACCCGATGTCTGTCACTGTCCCTTCTCGAGTTTAGAGCAGACGACTCCCCCTTGGGCTTGCTGCTGTCGGCTGCCTCCGGTCCACGTTTCTCTTCTTCCCTGCAGAGCTCCTGGGGTGTTGGCACCGGGCTTCCCTTTCATAGCAACTGCTGTAAAACCTCATTTGTGCATTGCCTCCTTCCCCTAAAGACCCTAGAGCAGGGGTGTCGAACTCATTTGTTACAAGGGCAGGATATGGCATAAATTTGACCTTGTTGGGCCGGGCCACGTGTGTCATAAAATGTAATGCCGGGTAGCAGAGATGTGAACTTTATAAAGGACACAAACACAAAGGGTTTTTTTAACTTAAAAAAACATGCCTAAAACGTTAGCACTCTCGCTCTGAATTACTGCATCAAAATGTCTGTGCTGTTGCAATCTTGAGTATGCTGCTGAGGTGTGTATCTGTAAGCTGCAAACCTACAATGATGCAGCAGCAGCAGAACCAGAAGAAGAAGCAGCAGCAGAAGACAGCCACTGCGGGCCTGATGGAAGCCGTCTGGGGGCCTAATCCAGCCCCTGGGCCGCATGTTCGACACCCCTGCCCTAGAGGAAAGCCTGAGAGGCAGTTCCGCCATCTCCTTCTCTCATTAGTTTGACTTCTAGAGGCCTTCTGTAATGTCTTCCCAAACCAGACCAGCCATATTCAAGCTGAAAGATCTTGAACTCTTAATAACCTAGATCGAGATCTGAAGTTCTCAAACCGTTGGAAGTGGGGCTTACTTCTTACTTTCCCCCTCTCTAACATGGAATGCAGGGGACTCGCACCCGTCACCATCAAGCAGGTCGATCTTTTCACATTTTCCATTTGTACACAATATTTTCATGTTAGATTCAAGACCAGGAGCACCTTTGGCCGAGTGTGTTGTTCTGATCTTGGCTGCTTGGGCATCTCGACTCTGATTCGCTCTTTCTGGCAACCGTCCCCCCCCCCCCCCAATATGCAATATTTGAGGAAATCTGGTCCTATGAATCTGAAGGCGTGTACAAACTAAGTCTCTCAGTTCTCAGTCGTACTCAGAACTGGACTTTATTTGTCTTGCACGTGCCATTCCCACATCTGTTTGTGAACTCTTGTTTCTGTATGCTAATTTACTGCCATCCACACATCTTTCTTACATCCAATCTCCGCTATAATCACCCAGTACTTATGCATCTGGACTCTAAGCGGTCCTCCCTGACAACCCCCACCCCACCCCCTATAAGTAACAGTTGAGAAGGTTCTTTCCACTGTATCATGGAAAGTGTGCCTGCACACAAAAGCTTATATCATGGATAAAACTTTGTTGGTTAAAAAAAAAAAAGACCAGCAGCATCTTTGGAACAAGATCTTTAGGGCATGCACTTTCAAGAGGACAAAGAAGACGACGACAAAGAAGATGATGAAGACGAGGAGGAGGAGACTGGATTTATACCCCGCCCTCCACTACCCCGAAGGAGTCCCAGAGTGGCTTACAAACTCCTTTCCCTTTCCCTCCCCACAACAGACACCCTGGGAGGTAGGTGGGGCTGAGAGAGGAGACTGCGTGGGGAGACTGGGTGAAAAGCCCCCTCGGCTTCAGAAAAATCAGGTGCAATGTTTAGAGCAGGTTCTGACGGAGACGGGCAGAACTGCCTCTCTTCCAAGCATTTGCTAGAAAGCTTTCGCCCTTCCATTCATGCCTTAAAAGTTCTGGGGAAAAGATCAGCAGGCACGGGGGTTATATCTGAGGAGCGAGACCTTCAGACAGCAGCTCAGATTAGAAGAGCCTCTCTCAAGTGCCCGCAAACAGACTTTACGGGCTCTCTGCTTTTGTGATTTATTTAAGAAAAACATTTACACTGTGCCTTTTCTTTGTGGCTCACAATTCCAAACTTAACCCTACCCTAAATGCTTACACAGCCCAAAGTGCCTTTAAGAGGAGGAGGAAGAGGAGGAGACTGAATTTATACCCCGCTCCTTCACTACCCAAGGGAGTCTCAGAGGGGCTTAGAAACTCCTTCCCCTTCCCCTCCCCACAACAGACACCCTGTGAGTTAAGGGGGGTTGAGAGAGCTCTGACAGAAACGGCTCTTTTTCAAGAACACCTCTGAGAGAACTTGTGACTGACCCAAGGTCACCCAGCTGGCTGCATGTGGAGGAGTGGGGAATCAAACCTGATTATCCCAGATTAGAGTCTGCGCACTCAACCACGACACCAAACTGGCTCTCAGGTCTCCATTCCTACACATCAAGTCCAACAACGGGAGCTTTGACACTTGAGAGTTCCTGCCCTGGAAATCCGGTTGGTCTCTCAGGTGCTGCAGGATTCGAATGAATCTCTCTATTCCACTGCAGACCAACATGCCTACGCTCTGAAACGACCTGCGAGGAAGGTGAGGCTAAGAGAGTGTGACTGCCCCAAGGTCACCCAGTGAGCTTCCAAGGCACGAAAGGGGGTTTGAATCTGGCTCCCCCAGATCCTAGTCCGGCGCTCTTAACCACCACACCACAATGGCTCTCGCCCTTG